ATTACTCTTGCTTTGCTTCTGATGTCCATGCCAGATCCGCCGATCCTGTTCAGGAAAAGGAACTGAGAGTTCATCACTTAAGAAAAGAAGAAATAAAATTCAATCAAGAAGAAAGCTCTCCAAGTAGAAAGATCTTAAATTTGTGCAAAGAGATTAACTAGGCAAAAACTTTAGGCCATTCCCACTTTCAAAAGAAAAGATTAAACTTAGTTCAAACTAAGGCTCCAAACAAATAGCAAGTTTCCATATTTTCCTTCAACTTTCCCATTAGAGGGCTGCTAAGGAAACTCACCGATTTGCACCCGCTTGGACACTTGCACTTCCTCTAATGACACGTAACGAGAGTTTGACACCCAAACTGGCAACCGATTTCTATCCGGTTACTTTAATTAATCCTTTTCTCTTCCTACATTGGTTCGCTATTCTTTTCCTTTCTCATTCCTAAGTCCTCTATTATTATTGAGTTTTCATTTTTTCTTTTTCTAGAAGAAATGAGAACTCTATGGAACTGAAAATACCCACCATTTTTCCTGGAGAACGCTACCGATCACTGAGGGGATTTGATCTCCAACCTCTTGTCCATAATCAAAACAAAAAGAGCAGTTCCTTTTATATATGGGTTTATATATTCACGATTTTGGTTTTCGTCATTTTAGCTTTCAATTATTCCCCAAATCCCTTTATTTGGTTCAGGGTGATCAATTTTGGGAAGATTTATAGAAAAATTTAAGGGGTCCTAAATCATATTTCAGGATATAAAAGAGGAAATAGAACCCTTTCTTTCCACTATCAGATCTGGTTGAGGAGTCCTAATACTTGATTTCTTTTGCAAATGCAACCAATTTTGAACGATTGCCAATTGCTTTTAAAGGGATTGTCTACGAGACGGAGAAGCATGGAGCTAAGTAATTGCAAAAGATTTTTCTTTCTCTTCTTTTCCCCATAATCAAACCAGATTTGAAACAAACGTGTAGATAAAGAAAAAAAAAAAAAAACCAGAGATATAGAAGCAGTGAAAGGAAAACAATTGGAGAAAGAAAAAAATTAGTTCGGAAAAGAAAAAATTAAAGATGGAGTTTGAAAAAAAGAAAACAGAAGAAGTACCGTAAAAGAAAAGGGGATAATCGGAGAAGAAAGGGTAGAGGTCGACAGAGCCGGAGAAGTCTAGAACCAGAGCAAAGGTCAGCCGGAGGACTTCACTTTTTG